TCATCATCATCATAATCATCATCGTCATCATCATCATCATCATCATCATCACCATCATCTTCATCAGCATCATCATCATCATCAACGTCATCCTCCACACCAGCATCATCATCATCAACATCATCATAATCATCATCATCAGCACCATCATCATCATCATCATCATCGTCATCATCGTCATCATCAGCATCAGCATCATCATCAGCATCATCATAATCATCATCATCATCATCAGTATCAGCATCAGCATCTGCATCATCATCAGCATCAGCATCATCATCAACATCATCATAATCATCAGCATCATCAGTATCAGCAACATCATTATCATCATCAGCATCATCACCACCACCATCATCATCAGCATCAGCATCAGCATCACCAGCATCACCATCATCAGCATCATCAGCATCATCATCATCATTATCATCATCATCAGCATCGTCATCATCATCATCATCATCATAATCCTCATCAGCATCAGCATCAGCATCAGCATCAGCATCAGCATCAGCATCATCATCATCAGCATCATCATCATCATCATCATCATCATCATCATCATCATCGTCATCATGTTCCTCCTTTTCCTCCCCAATGCCACTCCCCCCTGCCCCGTTTGTATTCCTGTTCTCTGCCCCCCTTCCTTCTCCTCCTCCTCCTCCTCCTCAGCCTCCCTCCCCATCCTGCTCCCACTCAGACTTTCCCTTCGCTTCTTCCTACTGCCCCTCCTCCGCCTCCTCTTTCGCCGCCGTCCCAACCTCCGCCTCATCCTCCTCATCCATCTCCTCCTCTCCCTGCCCAGTCCCCCTGCGCCGTTCCTCCTGTCCCCTTCCCCCCGTTCTCCTCCCCCTCCTTACGTTCCTCCTCCTCCTCCTCCTCCTCCTCCTCCTCTCTCGTCCTCCTCCTCCTCCTCCTCCTCCTCCTCCTCCTCCTCCTCCTCCTCCTACTCCATAGTCCTCCTCCTCCTCCTCCTCTCCTCCTCCTCCTCCTCCTCCTCTCTCCTTCTCCTCCTCCTCCTCCTCCTCCTCCTCCCTCCTCCTCCTCCTCCTCCTACCTCTACTCCTCCTCCCCCTCCTCCTCCTCCTCCCCTCCTCCTCCTCCTACTCCTACTCCTCCTCCTCCTCCTCCTCCTCCTCCTCCTCCTCCTCCTCCTCCTCCTCCTCCTCCTCCTCCCCCTCACTCGCTCGCTCGCTCGCCTGAGGGCCAAGAGATTCGCAGCCCATGCGTAAAGGAGACAAGGACGGCGAAGACTGTACCCCCATACCCGATCATGCACATGCAAAGGACAAGGAGGGCAAGACGGACTCGGACGCAGTGCGGCCCTGAGGGTCAGCCGCTGAAGCACCATGGACGCACACAAGGGCCTCCGCAATTACCCTCAACGGGGCGGTGGTAGCCCTTCCAGTGCACATGAGAGGCGGTGGCAAATGTCCACACTAATGATGTCGCATCCATTGACGCATTCATGGGCAGAGATTCTCCCTCAGGGCGGGGATGTTCGCCCAGAGCATAAAGATGGTGAGGCGGTACAGGGACCCAGTAACACAGAGATCCACAACCGCAGAGTTGACCCCGCCAGGCTCACGAATAGAGAGAGCACCAGCCAAGTCCGACCAACGAGGTAGATCAACGCCACCGGGGGCCACAGGACCAAGCCACACCACGAGCACACATGCCATCCACGCCAGAACGAAGAGACCCCTAGAGCGCCACAACTACACAGTTTGGTACAAGACCTCATCCTTGCGGGCATCGCCCATGGCCCGTAGCCCCCAAGGGGGCGCACGAAAACGGCTGGCATGCCGGCATGCCCGCCTCCAGGACGAGGTTGGCGGCCCGAGGGAATGCACAAGCAGGATGGGGGAAGGGCAGAGGGGCACCGACGAAACAGACGCTATCCTTGTCATCGTCGTCCTCCTCCTCCTCCTCCTCCTCCTCCAACTCCAACTCATGTTTCTCCTGCCCCTTGTGGTCCGCCGTCTCCTCCTCCTCCTCCTCCTCCTCCTCCTCCTCCTCCTCCTCAGCCTCCTCCTCCGCCTCCTCCTCCTTCTCCTCCTCCACCTCAGCTTCCTCCTACGCCTCCTCCTCCTCCTTATCCATATCCTCCTCCCTCCCTCCTCCTCCTCCCTCTCTCCTCCTCCTCCTGCCCTCCTACTCTCCTCCTCCTCCTCCTCCTCGCCTCCTCCGCCTCCTCCTCCTCCTCCTCCTCCTCCTCCTCCTCCTTCTCCTCACTCTCCTCCTCTCCTCCTTCCTCCTCTCCTCCTCCTCCTCTCTCCTCCTCCTCCTCCTCCTCTCTCCTCCTCCCTCCTCCTCCTCCTCCCTCCTCCTCTCCCTCCCACCTCCTCCTCTCCTCCCCCTCCTCCTTCTCCTCCTGTCTGCGCCTCCCTCCTATTATCCTCCTCCTCCTCCTCCTCCTCCTCCTCCTCCTCCTCCTCCCCTCATTCTGCTCATCATCCTCTCCTCATCCTCCTCCTCCTTCTCCCCCCATCCTCCTCCTTTCTCCTCTCCTCAGCAGCAGCAGCAGCGCCATCAACCGAATCAGCGTCAGCGTCAGCATCAGCATCATCATCATCATCATCATCATCATCATCATCATCATCATCATCATCATCATCATCATCATCATCATCATCATCATCATCATCATCATCATCATCATCATCATCATCATCATCATCATCATCGTCATCAATCATCATCATCATTATCATCATCATCATCATCAGCATCATCATCATCATCGTCATCATCATCATCATCATCACCATCATCATAATCATCATCATCATCATCATCAGCACCATCAGCATCATCATCATCAGCAGCATCATCATCAGCAACATCATCCTCATCATCATCATCATCATCACCATCATCAGCATCATCATCATCATCATCACCATCATCAGCATCATCATCATCATCATCATCATCGTCATCATCATCATCAGCATCATCACCATCATCATCATCATCCATCATCATCATGATCAGCATCAGCATCATAATCATCAGCATCATCTTCATCATCAGCAGCAGCATCATCATCCATCATATTCATCATGATCTTCAGCATCATCATAATCATCATCATGATCATCAACATCAGCTGCAGCATCAGCATCCTCATCGGCATCATCAGCATCATCTTCAGCAGCATCATCATCAGCACCAGCATCATCAGCATCATCAGCATCAGCATCATCAAAATCATCATCAACAGCGGCAGCATCATCATCAGCTCAGCAGCATCATAATCATCGTCATCATCATCAACAGATTCATCCGCATCAGCATCATCATATCATTATCATCATCAGCAACTGTGTCGTCGCCACCATCGGCAACATCAGTACCATCATCATCAGCATCATCATCAGCAGCAGCACCGGCTTCGTCCTCATCATCATAAGAATTAGCATCATCATCATCAGCAGCATCATCACCAGCATCATCCTCATCAACATCAGCATCGTCATCATCATCAGCATCATCATCCCGCTCCTCCTCCTCCTCCTATTCCTCCTCTTCCGTATCATCCTCATATTTCGTCGCACGTTTGTTTCTGCTACCCAGCTATCCGGCTGTCCTGCTCTCCTCGCCACTGCCCCTGGCCTCAGATCCCAAACCAAGTCAGTCATCCACACACAATCGATTTTCACACGACGATCAAGCGCGTTATGTTGTAATCATTGCGGTGCCCGTTCGGACAGACATCCCAGGCAGCGTTTGCAGGCGCAGCATCACCGAGTGGTCGTTGGCACCAAGCCCATGTCGCTTCAATCCGTAGCACCACACGCACCTGGTGATCGCTGGAAAACAATGCGCAGCGCGCGGTGCCATACCTATATAACATGTGTATATACATATAGACAGATTGGATCAGTCGACGTATTCCTTCAAACACATGTCGTTGTTTGTGCCTGGCCACGCCACTTGTTCGCCACAAGATCTATAGAATCGATCGCAATGCCGCCACACAACTAGTCGCAGAAGCCCTCCGCGCCTGTGACATTTCGAGCACTTGGTGGTTGCGCGTGCACCCGTCAAGTTCCTCAGAGCGCCTGACGTTATACCCAGGGCTGCGACCTGCCCATAGCTTATGGCGCATGCTGATCCGCCCGCAGCGCAGTTCGCAGACAGGGCAAGCGCCAGGCCCGCCCAATTGCAGGGAACAGCCACCGAGAAGGATGTGTATACCCAGAGCTTCCCTTCCGAGCCCATTCGTCGCCCGGGCCCGTTCGGCTTCCCAACGGACGCAAGATCAAGCCCCTCCGGCCCCCGAGCGGGCGAGAAGTCCACCGGCATCCTGGATTTGAGCACGTTCGGCTGCCTCTTCGGCAGCCGCAGGGGCTCACGCGCCGAATGAGCTCCGAAGCGGCCTCGGGCGTAGGCCGAAGCGCAGCCAGGCTCGCAGAGAGGTGATGGTAGAATTGGTCGAAGGCAGAGGGAACATTTTTCCGTCGGCGGCGAGGCAGAGGCAGTCCGCTCCAGCGTGTGGCTATTCGGGGCAACCGAAAGGCCAATTGCACGGCGTGCAAAAGCGAGGAAGAAGACAAGGGCGGCCGCGCGGGGAGGGGGGGGGGGGAAATCGCTCAGACCGCAGACGGAAAATCCCCGTGTTCCAGAGGGCCGGTTTGCGCACAACGCCACCTGTGAACTCCGGCGGCTCGGCGGTGATGGCGTAGCCCAGAAGGGCAACGATGACGATAACGAGGACGAGGAAGAGGGCATCTCCTTCTCCGCCACCTCCTCGTGATCATCATCAGAATCACCATCATCATCAGCAGCCGCAGCAGCACTCACATCACCACATAATCGGCATGAGCAGCATCATCATCATCATCATCAGCAGCATCATCATCATCATCAGCATCATCATCAGCATCATCATCAGATCATCCTCATCATCAGCAGCAGCATCACCATCATCATCAGCATCAGCATCATCATCAGCAGCATCATCATCAGCAGCAGCATACTCCTGGTCATCCTCATCATCATCCTCATCATCCTCATCATCCTCATCATCATCATCATCATCATCATCATCATCATCATCATCATCATCATCATCATCATCATCCGCATCATCATCCCGCCACCACCATCATCATCATCATCATCATCATCATCATCATCATCATCATCATCATCATCATCGGCAGCAGCATCCGTTATCCACAAGCCAGCGGCCGCCGAGCGGAGAGGGCGGCCTCGGCGGCCGCGCCCAGCAGCTCGTCGAGCAGCGCCGCGGCGAGGGAGCCGCTGACGCACTCGTCCTCGCGGTCGCTGTCCGACGCCTGGCGACGACGACGTCTGACAATGACGACCACGACGACGTCGTCGACGACGACGACCATGCCGACGATGACAACAGCGACGGCGACGGCGACGGCGACGGCGGAGACAACGACGACGACGAACACGACGACGACGACGACGACGACGACGACGACGACGACGACGACGACGACGACATGGTCGTCGCCGCCGCCCGGTAGGCTCCCGCCAGCCACGCCCGCCCCTTGGGACCCCGCCCGCCCGCCTCGCCCGCCAGGGCTCCGCTCGCCCGACCTACCGTTTGGGTCCCGCCCGCCCGCTCGCTTCCGACCCCCCCCCCCCGGCAGCTTCGCTGCCCCGCCCGCCAGACCCGCCCCGCAGGGTCCCGCCCGCCCGACCCGCCCGACCCGCCCTCCGCGTGAAATGTTCGGCTCGCATCGTCGCCGCCTTGGTCGTCGGCCGCCGGCCGTCGGTCGCCAGGAGTCGGCTGTCGTCTTCGTACCCTTCGTCGTTCTCGTTGTCGCCGGCGTCGTCGTCGGTTCCGCCTTCGTCGTCGTCAGCGTCGTCATCGCCATGATTGTCGCCAGAGTCGTCGTCGTCATGGTCAGCGCCGACCCGCATTGAAGTGCCCGCGCGCTCGCGCGGCATGTGAGACAAGCTAACAAGCTCTCACCGGTAAGTGCCATGGCGGCCACATCGGTTGTACCAAACGGGTTGTTGGATGTCCCGTCCTGCCCTCAGGCGAAGGTGAACAGTTATCTCACGACCCTCTTCTGGGTCACTTGCATCTTGGCAAGGCTTGACGAACCTGGAGGCAGCTCGTGCTGCACCTTTGCCAACTGCTGCTTGCCGTAACGATTCAGACGGTGCGTGCTCTGCCAAATTGTCTGACCGCCTGCGTAGCTACGCAGCCACAGGCAAGACAAACTGTCCTCCCGAACTCGTTATGATAAGCAAAGGTGTGGGAGCTAAGCAAGTCTATGCCGTTCGCTGTACTCTGAGTGGGAACCACGACTGTTCCCTGAAAGAGGCCCTGGTGGCAGGGAAGGGCTAAGAACGTGTTGAACATCATGTACGGTGCGCTGCCTACACAGCAGTGGCAGCGGATCTGAGAACCTGTACTCCAAAGTGACTCGTGAGCAGTGGATAGCGACTGAGTGTTGATCTCGCGCCTCTTGGGATGCAGGTTCGCCTCCCTGGGCGTACGATTACTACCCATCTCCATTGAGGCAAGGAAACTGTGACCGAGGTGCTGGCAAACCTGGAAAGCAATAGCCTGGTATGGGACCTGTTGCCCCGACCCTCTGCTGGCACACGAATCTTATCTGCCCACTGGTTTATTATTCGGTCCGCAAGCCCCTTCAAAAGAACACATCTGGGGTCGACGCCGCCGGCCCTAACCTCCTCACGAGATCTATAACTTTCGACATTGGCCAGGACAACCCCTCTGCTAGGATGCTCAGCTCGAATATCCCGAATCGAGTGCCACACGTCAAGGTTCGACTTCAGATGCATCCCATTCTGAATCTTATTTAGACGCGTAACAACATCCGCCACCGTCCTCAGGTCCTTTGCCCGATCCTCTGAGCCTCAGTCCGAACTCCTGAGGAGTTTCTTGAGGGCCCAGCGCCCCGTCGCGGCGCAACGCGTGACTTTTTCGGGTCCAAGAGGGCTCCATCACGGACCCCGAGAGCCCCAAGACGCCACCAAGACAGTCCAAGAGGGCACCGAGTCGCCAAACGAGCTCTCCAAGACGCTCAATACAGCCCAAAAGGCCTCCGAAACGCCCCAAGAAGCTTCCAAGAGGCCTCCCACGAAGGCCCCAAGAGGCCAAAAGCACAGATGTTCCTTAACTTGTTGTAGGATGTTGGCGTTCTCGCCTGTTCGGCTTCCCGACGCTCACAGACAGCCCCAGAGGCCCCCAAGACCGCCCGAAGACCGCCCAAAAGGCCTCCAAGACCGCCCCAAGACGGCCCACGAGGGCCCCATGACCAGCCCAAGAGGCGCCCAAAGCGGCTCAAGAGGGCCCCAAGACGGCCCTGAAAGAAGCCCGAGAGAGGGAGCACGAACCGACAATCTGGACCTGCCACCCCAAGAGGCCCCCAGAAAGCCCCAAGAGGCGACCAGGAAGCCCCAAGAGGCCCCCAAGAGGCCCCCAAGAGGCCCCAAGAGGCCCCCAAGAGGCACCCAAGAGACCCCAAAAAGGCACCCAAGAGGCCCCCAAACGGCCCCCAAGCGGCGTCCAAACTGCCTTCGTGAGGCCCCCGAGAACCCCCCCCCGCGAGATCTCAACGAACGCAACATACGCTTCATACCCAACTCCCACGCACGGTGGCGGGATGGGCCGAAAGCCATTAGACCTGGCCCGGCACAGAAACGGAAAGAGCGCTTCAGAAACAGAAACCGAAATTACTCACACCACCGTTCGTACTGGGAGCCTTGGCGTTGAGAGCTTGTTACGTCACCCCTCGCTCTTGGGAGCCTTGGTGTGCAGAGATTGTTGCGTTGCCGCCCGTTCCTGAGCCTTGGCTGGGCCGTGGTGTCAGGAACTTGTTACGTCACCGCTCTCTGCTGGGAGCCTTGGTCTTATCAGCTTGTTTACGTCGCCGTTCGCTCTTGGGAGCCTTGGTGTGAAGAGCTTTTTGCGTTACCGATCGCTCTCTATTTGGCGTCTCTGGGCCTTCTTGGGAGTCCCACTGGACCCCTTGTCGGGGCCTTTTGGAGGCCTCTGGGGAACCTCTTGGGGGCCTCTTGGGGCTTCTTGGGGGGCTCTTGGGGCCTCCTGGGAGCTTCTTGGGGCGAAAGGCTAGACTTTTCGGGTTCGCGGTCCACCTCTTGGGGTCGTCTTGTGGCCCTCTTGGACCGTCTTGGGCGCCTCTTGGGCCGTCTTGGCGCCCTCTTGGGCAGTGTTGAGGGGCCCCTTGGGAGCCCCGTGGGCCGTCTTGGGGCGGTCTTGGGGGCCTCTTGGGCCGTCGTCAACGCAGTGAAAGCCGAAAAGCCTTGCATGCTAAAAATGTACCTTTTCCCATCGGAAACCAATGATTTTCGCCTCCCGGTGGCCTCTTGGGACGCCTCTTGGGGTCCTCTTGGGGCTTCTTGGGGGGCTCTGGGGGCCTCCTGGGAGCGTCTTGGGGCGAAAGGCTAGACTTTTCGGTTCGTGGTCCCCCTTTTGGGGCCGTCTTGGCGCCCTCTTGGGCCGTCTTGAGCGCCTCTTGGGCCGTCTTGGGGCCCTCTTGGGCCGTTTTGGGGGCCTCTTGGGAGCCTCTTGGGCCGTCTTGGGGCGGTCTTGGAGGCCTCTTGGGCCGTCGTCAACGCAGTGAAAGCCGACAAAGCACATATGCTAAAAATATGCGTTTTCCTTCGGAAAATGAATGATTTCGGCCTCTTGGGGCCCTCTTGGGACGCCCCTTGGGCTCCTCTTGGGGGCCTCTTGGGGGCCTCTTGGGGGCCTCTTGGGCCGTCTTGGGCGGTCTTGGGCTTTCTTGGAGCGCGGCCGTCTTGGGGAGGAATCCGAAAAACAAGCAAAAACCCGATGGAAAACCCGAAAACGGCCATTAACACGCAAATGGGCCCGCTTCGCCCCTCCCCTGGAACCCCTCCCTTTAGGGCTTCGCCCACACCAGAACGTCATCACTCGTACCTCGCTCTTTCCGTTACCTGGCCCGGCACAGAAACGGAAAGAGCGCTGCAGCAACAGAAACCGAAATTACGCACACCACCGTTCGTACCGGGAGCCTTGGCGTTGAGAGCTGGTCACGTCACCCATCGCTCTTGGGAGCCTTGGTGTGCAAAGATTGTTGCGTTGCCGCCCGTTCCTGAGCCTTGGCTGGGCCGTGGTGTCAGGAACTTGTTACGTCACCGCTCTCTGCTGGGAGCCTTGGTCTTATCAGCTTGTTTACGTCACCGTTCGTTACTGGAAGCCTTGGTATGAGGAGCTTTTTGCGTTAACGATCGCTGTCTATTTGGCGTCTCCGGGCCTTCGTGGGCGTCCTATTGGGGCCCTTGTAGAACTCTTTTGGAGGCCTCTTGGGGGCATCTTGGGGGCCTCTTGGAGCTTCTTGGGGGTCTCTTGAGACCTCATGGGGGCGTCCTGGGGCGAAAGGCTGGACTTTCGGGTTCGTGGTCCCCCTCTTGGGGCCGTCTTGGGGCCTTCTTGGGCCGTCTTGGGCGCCTCTTGGGCCGTCTTGGCGCCCTCTTGGGCCGTTTGGGGGGCCTCTTGGGACCCTCTTGGGGCGTCTTGGGGCGGCCTTGTGGGCCTCTTGGGCCGTCGCCAACGCCGTGAAAGGCGAAAAGCCGTATATGCTACAAATATACGCTTTCCTTTGGAAAATCAATAATGTTGGCCTCTTGGGGCCCTCCGGGGACGCCTCTTGGGCGCCTCTTGGGGCTTCTTGAAAGCTCTGGGAGCCTCCTGGGAGCGTCTTGGGGCGATAGGCTAGACTTTTCGGTTCGTGGTCCCCCTCTTGGGGCCGTCTTGGGGCCCTCTTGGGCCGTCTTGGGCGCCTCTGGGACCGTCTGGGGGCCATCTGGGGCCAATGTGGGGAGCTTCTTGGGAGCCTCTTGGGCCGTCTGGGTGCGGTCTTGGGGGCCTCTTGGGCCGTCGTCAACGCCGTGAAAGGCGAAAAGCCGTATATGCTACAAATATACGTTTTCCTTTGGAAAATCAATAATGTTGGCCTCTTGGGGCCCTCTTGGGACGCCCCTTGGGCGCCTCTTGGGGGCCTCTTGGGGGCCTCTTGGGCCGTCTTGGGTGGTCTTGGGCTCTCTTGGAGCGCTCTTGGGCCGTCTCGAGGGAGAATCCGCGAAAGACATGCACAAACCCGGTGGAAAAAAAACCCAAAACGGCCATTAGAACTCATCCGCGCCCCGTACGCCCCCCCCCTGGAACCCCCCCCTTAATGGGGCTTCGCCCAACACACAACGTCATCGCTCGTACCTCGCTCTTTCCGTTACCTGACGCGGCACGGAAACGGAAAGAGCGCTTCAGGAACTTGCCGGCGATGTCTCATGGCACCGTTCGCTCATGGGAGCCTTTGTGTGCCGAGCGGGTTACGTCATCGTTCGTACTTGGAGCCTTGGCGGTCGAAGCTCTTTACGCCATCCTTGGTACTGAGAGCCTTGGCGTTCAAAACTGTTTACGGCATCGTTCGTACTAGGAGCCTTGGCGTTCGAAGCTCTTTACGCCATCGTTCGTATTGGGAGCCTTGGCGTTTCAAGCTTTCCACGTCATCGTTCGTAAGGGAGCCTTGGCGTTCAGAGCTCCTCGCGTCACTGGTCCGTTTGGGGGCGGGGACCTTGGCGTCAAAGCTTCAGAAACAGAAACCGAACTTACTCACACCACCGTTCGTACTGGGAGCAGTGGCGTTGAGAGCTTGTTATGTCACCCCTCGCTCTTGGGAGCCTTGGTGTTCAGAGATTATTGCCTTGCCGCCCGTTCCTGAGCCTTGGCTGGGCCGTGGTGTCAGGAACTTGTTACGTCACCGCTCTCTGCTGGGAGCCTTGGTCTTATCAGCGTGTTTACGTCACCGTTCGCTCTTGGGAGCCTTGGTGTGAAGAGCTTTTTGCGTTACCGATCGCGCTTTATTTGGCGTCTCTGGGCCTTCGTGGGGGTCCTGTTGGGGCCCTTCTAGAGCACTTTTAGAAACCTTTTGGGTGCCTCTTGGGAACCTCTTGGGGGCCTCTTGGGGCTTCTTGGGGGGCTCTGGGGGCCTCCTGGGAGCTTCTTGGGGCGAAAGGCTAGACGTTTCAGTTCGTGGTCCCCCCCTTGGGGCAGTCTTGGGGCCCTCTTGGGCGCCTCTTGGGCCGTCTTGGCGCCCTCTTGGGCCGTTTGGGGGGCTTTTGAAAGCCTCTTGGGCTGTCTTGGAACTGTCTCTGGGGCCTCCTGGGCCGTCGCCAACGCCGTGAAAGCAGAAAAGCCGTGTATGCAAGGAACGTATCTTTCCCCTAAGGAAAGTCAATAATGTTGGCCTATTGGTGGCCTCTTGGGGCGCCTCTTGGGGCTTCTTGGGGGGCTCTTGGGGCCTCCTGGGAGCGTCTTGGGGCGATAGGCTGGACTTTTCAGTTCGTGGTCCCCCCCTTGGGGCAGTCTTGGGGCCCTCTTTGGCCGTCTTGGGCGCCACTTGGGCCGTCTTGGAGCCCTCTTGGGCCGTTTTGGCGGCATCTTGGGAGCCTCTTGGGCCATCTTGGGGCGGTCTGGGGGGCCTCTTGGGCCGTCGTCAACGCCGTGAAAGCAGAAAAACCGCACATGCTAAAAATGCACGGTTTCCAACTGAAAATCTATGAATGTGGCCTCCTGGGGCCTTCTGGGACGCCCCTTGGGCGCCTCTTGGGGGCCTCTTGGGCCGTCTTGGGCCGTCTTGGGCGGTCTTGGGCTCTCTTGGAGCGCTCTTGGGCCGTCTTGGGGGAGAACCCGAAAAACCTGGCCCAGCACAGAAACTGACAGAGCGCTTCAGAAACAGAAACCGAAATTACTCACACCACCGTTCGTACTGGGAGCCTTTGCGTTGAGAGCTTGTTACGTCACCCCTCGCTCTTGGGAGCCTTGGTGTTCAGAGATTGTTGCGTTGCCGCCCGTTCCTGAGCCTTGGCTGGGCCTTGGTGTTAGGAACTTGTTACGTCACCGCTCTCTGCTGGGAGCCTTGGTCTTATCAGCTTGGTTACGTCACCGTTCGTATGCTAAAAATGTACCTTCTTCCTATAGGAAATCGATGATTCTGGCTTCCTGGTGGCCTCATGGGGCGCCTCTTGGGGGGCCGCTTGGGGCTTCTTGGGGGGCTCTTGGGGCCTCCTGGGAGCTTCTTGGGGCGAAAGGCTAGACTTTTCGGTTCGTGGTCCCCCTCTTGGGGCCGTCTTGGGGCCCTCTTGGGCAGTCTTGGGCGCCTCTTAGACCGTCTTGGGGCCCTCTTGGGCCGTTTTGGGTGCCTCTTGGGAGCCTCTTGGGCTGTCGTGAGGCGGTCTTGGGGAAAGCCGAAAAGCCGCACATGCTAAAAATGCACGTTTTCCAATCGAAGATCCATGAATGTGGCCTCTTGGAGCCCTCTTGGGACGCCCCTTGGGCGCCTCTTGGGGGCCTCTTGGGCCGTCTTGGGCCGTCTTGGGCTCTCTTGGAGCGCTCTTGGGCCGTCTTGGGGGGGAACCCGAAAAACATGCAAAAACCATAGGGAAAACCCGAAAACAAGCATTCACATTCATTCCCTCGCGCTCTCTCTTGGGCCGTCTGGGGGCCCTCTTGGGCCGTCTTGGGCCCCTCGTGGGCCGTCTGGGGTCCCTCTTGGACCGTTCTCGGCCCCTTTGGGTGGCCTCTGGGGCTGTCTTGGGGCGATATTTGGGGCCTCTTGGGCCGTCTTGGGCCGTCTTGGGTTCGTCTAGAGGCCTTCTTGGACAGTGGTGGGCCCCTTTGGGGCGCCTCTGGGGCCGTCTTGGGACGATCTTTGGGGCCGCTTGGGCCGTCCGGGGCCCTTCTGGGATTGAAAGGGGGAGAATCCGAAAACCTGCAACAACCCTAAGGAAATCAATGTGTTTGGCCTCCTGAGGCCCTCTCAGGGGCCCTCTTGAGCATCCCTGGAGCCGTCTGAAGGCTCTCGTTGACCGTCTGGAGGCCATCTGATGCTCTCTTGGGGCCGTCTTGGGGCCCTCTGGTGCCGTTTTGGTGTCATGTTGTGCCGTCTTGGGGCCCTCTTACCGCTTCGCACGAAAAAATACGAGGAATCAGGCCATGGGAGCCGCACGGGAGCCGCTTCACTATAACAAATTCGTGGGAAGCTGGCCATTACACCATCGGTGCGCCCCCCCCCGCCCCTCCCCTGGACCATTCCCTAGAGGGCTTCGAAACACCAAGCCGTTCATCACTCGTACCTCGCTCTTTCCGTTGCCTGCTTGGCACGGGGACGGAAAGCGCATGTACTTTCAAAGCGCGAGATGTCGCTGGCTTGCCCGTTCTTTCTCTCTGTCTCCCCGTCGGGAGGCTCTCTTGGGGCATCTTGGTGGCATATTGGGCGCCCTCTAGGGCTATCCAGAAGCCGCAGGAGGCCTCTTCACGGGGAACTAGGGCGTGTTAGTATCGTGGGAAGGCACTAGAGCGCGATAAAACGCGAATGAAGATTATGGTAATAGTGTTGATGATGATGACGACGACATACTTTCTCTTGGGAGCATCTTGGGCCTCTCCCAAGCCCTCCTTGGGCCGTATTGTGGCTCGCTTAGGCCGTCTTGGGGCCCTTTTGGGCCGTCCTCAGGCCCTCGTGGGAGCCTCTCGGGCCGTCATGGCAAAATCTCGAGGGCCCCTGGAGCTGTATCGGGCCGCTCTCGCCCGAGAAACGAGAAGCTGGAAAACCTTCACAAACCTAAAGACAACAATGGTTGTTGCGTCGTCCGGCACTTTGGGGGGTCCTCTCGGGGGCCGCTTGGGGTGTCTTGGAGGCCTCTTGGGCTGTACCCAGGCCATCTTGGGCTATCTTGGATCGCTCTTGGGCCGTCCTCGGGCCCGTCTGGGCCTCTCCTACGCCGCCTGGTACCTTAAGCTGGCGAGGAGTTTACACGCTTACGCGGAGCTTACGCGGAGCTTACGCGGAGCTTACGCGAGCATACTCGAGTTTACGTGGAACTCACGCACCCGTCAACGGGGAATTCCATGTTAACAGGCACCTGACCCCGCTCAGGTACCCGTTAACATGGGGGTTTAAATGGAATTCCAAATTAACGCGGCCTTGACCCCGCTCGGGCATCCGTTAACAGGGAAGTCCGTGCAATTTCCCTGTTAACGGATGCCTGAGTCAGCTCAATCACCCACCTTTCCATCTTAAAGGCTCTGTGAACAAGGAAAAGGGCTTTAGATCGCTGGGGGACGGGATGCCACCCCCCTCGAACCCCCCCTAGCTCCGTTCCTTCCGGCTAACGGATCGCATGCTACGCGCGCTTGCCGTCATCCGCCGCCCCCCTGTGGCCTTGCCACACGGGGTGCCCGGCGTGCCAAGCCCTCTGCGGTGTGGTTCTTGTTCTGCTTCCAAGAGGGCCCCCCCCTGGGGCGGTCGGCCCGTCCCGCTGGCCACCCGGAATGGCCCGCCCGCTGCGCCAGTAACATGTCAAAAACGGCTGTTTCGCTGACATCCTCAACAAAATCGCGATCTCGGGGATCCTAGCCCAAGACGCTTGCTGTTAAGAGGGAGCGCTTCGCACGAAATGGCTCCAAGACGGCTCAGGACGGCACAAGAGGCCTCCAAAAGGGCCTCCAGGAAGGCCCGAAGAGGTTATAGTCATTGATGCTCCTCAGGTTGTTTGAAAGATTGAGGCATTCCAATATTTTAGGCCTTCCGACGGCCTGAGACAGCCCGAAAGCCTCCAACGATCGCCCCAAGATCGCCCAAGAGGCCTCCAAGATGGCCGCATGACGGTCCAAGAGGCCCCAGGACGGCCCCAAGAGGGCCCCCAAGGCGGCCCAAGAGGCCTCCAGGACGCCCAAGCCAGCCTCCCAAGGCGGCCCTGGAGCACCCCAAGAGGAGCTCCAGGTCGGCCCCGAGAGGCCCCCAAGACCCAGATCTGAAGAACGGCCCCACAACTGAAGCCCCTGCAGAACCCACGGCGGCCCCGGTTTGAGCGCCTTGGCTTCTACCCCGCTTGCTTCCCGCGCTGCCCACCGAGACGACGAGCCGCTGCCCGGCCGTGCAGAAGCAACCGGGCGCCCCTCGGGCACGCTTAGGAGGAGGAGGAGGAGGAGGAGGAGGAGGAGGAGGAGGAGGAGGAAGAAGATTGCGAGGATTGCGAAGATTGCGAGGATTGCGAGGATTGCGAGGAGGAGGAGGAGGAGGAGGAAAAACGGCGCGCACGCGCGCGCGCGCGATGGATGCCTGCTGCTGCTGGTCGACGTCCTGGGCCTCCGGGGCCACGTCGGCAGCCCCCCCGCCCTGGGCTGGACGGCGGGACGAGGCACGCCGCTCGGCGCGAGCGTCTCGCCTGCCTCTGCGACCCCGATGGGCCGCCTGTATCCGCACCGCGGCCTGGCGGGGCGACGAGGAGGAGGAGGAGGAGCAGGAGGAGGAGGAGGGCTACGATCGACGATCCTTCCAGCCAGCAGGAAAAGGAGCAGGAGGGGAGGGGGAGGAGGAGGAGGAGGAAGAGGAGGAGGAGGAAGGGGAGGGAGGAGGAGCAGGTGCCGGGGGCGGAGGAGCCAAAGGAGCAGCCGTGGCGGTGGCAGCAGCGTGACATGGGCAGCAGTCGGCCGCCGCTGCGGCAGCAGCAGCAGAGCGGCTGTGGTGGGGGAGCACATGAGGGGGACCGAAGAAGCAAGGCCACACGTTGAGCAGGGACCGACCGTCAAGGCACTCCTACAGGCCCTCCACGACGTGCGCCCAGAACCCCGGAACGCTGTCAGAGCGAAAACAGAAAGTCGGCGTGCTAGAACAAGGCGGTCGCAGCCAGTACTGTGCTAAGACAACCTCGTGCAAACCACAGAAGGTCATTGGAACATCTTCTGGTGGGCCTACAGGCAGGCCGGCGAGCCGAGACGCTTGGCCGCTGCTCGAGCAACGGGGGGGCAGGCGGCCGAGAACGGCAGGAGGCGCAGCCGCAGCGGCGGCGGCGGCGGCGTGACCGGGGGAGCACTCGGCTGCGGCGGCAGCAGCAGCAGGGAAGTCGTGCCGGAGGGGAGCACGAGCGGGAGGGAGGACAGGAGGCCGAAATCCAAACAGAGGCCTGCGCGAATTGGGGGCCACCGCCTGACCTTCCCAAATGCTGGGCTCGGGGGGGCTATGCTGACCCGGGTCCACCAGGCCAGGGTCAGTCGGGCGTTGCAGCATCCTGCGAGATCCTGCAGGATCCTGCACGCAAGCCCAGGCCAAGAAAGCCCTGGCTTGGCAAGACCCTGCAAGATCCGGCGCTTTGGCCGACCCCCATTTGCATTGACCCCCTGTCCCCAAACCCCCGACGTCGTGATTTGTTCACAACGTCGTCCCCCAGAGCTCTGGACCCCCTGCCCGGGACTGGTTTTTCATCCTAAATCGTTTTTCGACGGTCCCGGGGCCAGTCAGGGCGTAGCAGGCGTGGCATGTCATTGACCCCACCGGGGATACACTGGTGCTGGGGGTATTGTGAGCGTTATCCTAAACATTACGATTATGATGATGATGATGATGATGATGATGATGATGATGATGATGATGATGATGACAATGAGTATTAGTATGATTATTACCATAATTACTATGACTCCTCCTCCTCCTCCTCCTCCTCCTCCTCCTTTTCCTCCTCCTCGTCGTCGTCCGCCTCCTCCTCCTCCTCCTCCTCCTCCTCCTCCATCCCTCTCCTAAGTGCGCGGGCACAAGGGGGTGCCTGGTGTTGCTGGTCGATAACCACGGTGTCGAGGGTCGATTCACCATCTCTGCCATCTTCGTCTGACTGGCGAGATGAGGCATGCCGTCCACACCGAACATCTCGTCTGCTGTTGCGTCCACGCTCGATCGACTGCATTCGCGCTGCAGCCTGACAGAACGCAACCGAACGAGAACTCCAAAGAATGGGGAGGTCAATGATGATGGCGAAAACATGGAAGAAACTACAACAAGAGACCAGCAGGCGAGCGGGAAGAACGCACGTCACCGCATACTGTACAAATATGCCAAATGATGATGGCTGGGATCTCGCCTGCAGCTGCAATCACGATGAGTCGAATGCATTCGCAAAGCAACATTCCCAAAACAATGTTGCAATTACGGGCTCTTACTTCTTTTCTGAAGAGCTGGGCCTGCATATCGGTCTGCCCGTTCCGTGCTCGCCGTCGCCGCCCCGTTGCCGCCTCGTCGCTGCCCGTTGTCTGGGCGGCCGTGCGTGTCGTTCTGGACGTTCCGCGCCAGATCGCCGCCTGCATTGCAAAGGTTTTCCCCGTCAGCAAAAAAAGTATCGACCCCCCCACCCCCGAAGGCGGGATTATTCGCTCCCCCCTTTTTTTCCAGGGATGTGCAATGAACATACGAATTCGCGCCATCGTTCAATTCGATATACGAATCCATACCACGCCAGTCAAACCAATACCAGCTGGCCCCGTCAACCGTTGCCATTGAATATGCGCGCACATTCTTTCACCAAAAACAACCAATGCTCAACAATCCCTTGCGCAAGAAAACCGCAGTGCACACGCGCGCGTCGTCGCGCGCGCACGCCAACTTCCTTCAAACAAACAGTAAGATTGGAAACGAATCAAATTCGAGCGCGCCCGCCTTTCCGCAAGGGCATTTCGAAATCATTCGAACGCCCTCTCGCGCGTGCTGGGGGGGAACACGATCCCTTTTGAAAAAATACCCACGCAGGCCACCCGCGCCCGTCGGCCGCGCACGCATGTCGGAATCGTTCCAACGTTATCGTTACCGACGCGCGGGCACCATCATCATCGGCGCGATCAGCATCGGTGCCGTCATTGGCCCTGCCGTGGTCATCGTCATCGTCATTACCATCATCGTTACAATCATCATCGTGTCTGTCGTTGTCGAACTCCCCATGGTACCACGCCCGCCCGAATCACATACTCGCACTGAAGTGCCCGCGCGCCAGCGCAGCCTGCGAAAAGCACTGGGAGGTCCCCAGCGGTCAACGCCACCGCGGCCGCATCGGTCGGGCCAGGCTGGCTGGCCGATCTGCGCGCGAGCCTGCACACGCTGGCGCGGCCGCAACGAAGCGTCAGCCAGCGCAACGCAGCCATCGCAATCGCCGCCGCATGGGTTTTGCAAACCAAACTGCGGGCGGGTGGGTGGGCTGGTTGCGCGAGCAATGTAATTGACAATTTCAAATTGGGCAAGTTGTTACACGACATCAATTTTATTGCCTAACTTTTGGATTCTCATCTCTGAAAACAAAAAAGGAAACTACGACCACCCACCCGCCGAGGCCGGGGGTGTAAAGTTTACACACGAGTCAGCCTGATCGCCCATTCGAAATATGAACTCATACCATCCCAGCCAAGCCACGCTCGACACCTCCCGCTACGCGTTGTTCAAACCAACCAAACAAACAAAAAACAAAAACAAACAAAAAACGGTGCGCACATGCTGCTAATCAAATTCATCAATCCGAAAGGACCCTCTATTCCAATACAACTCAATGCACACGCGCGCGAGTCGTTGCGCGCATGCCGGAATCCGTCAAACACCTCAAGTTTCATGAGGTGTCCAACATCGAGTGTCCTGAAACATATAAAGACACATGGTTCTGGAGCACGGTGTTTCAAAACATTCTGTTTCTATGAACAAAAAATCTGCGCGCGCGCTCTCTCGCGAGTTTTAATGACAACAAGTAGTTGTTCACCAACTTCATCACATGCGACCAAACTGGCCTCTCGCGAGCAAATGTCGATATCGTTCGAACGCCTTGCAAGCGTGCTGGGGGGGGCACGGTCCCTATCAAATAACCACATGCGGGCCATTCGCACCCGTCGGCCGCGCACGCACGTCGAAATTGTCCCAAAACCTTCGACCCCGACAGAGGGACACCATCATCGACATCGGCGGGCGTGATCAACATCGGCACCGCCACTGTCATCGTCGCAACCAGCTTCGCCACGATCATCATCGTGTCTGTCTGTCGTTGCCGACGTCGCGATGATACCGCCGTCGTCCGAGTCACCGGCTCGCACTGAAGCACCCGCGCGCCAGCGCGGGCTGCGAAACACGCGCTGGGAAGTCCACAGCGGTAAGCCCAACCGCGTCGGTCGCGCGCCGAACTATCCGGTCGCTCTGCGCGCGGACGAGCGCGCGACAGCGCGGTCGCAGCGATGCGCCAGACAGCGGCACGCAGTCATCGCAATCGTCGCCGCATGGTTTTGCAAACCGAAGAGAACTGAACGGGTGGGACTATTGCGCGAACAGTGGATCTGACAAGTCCCTGCGAATAACGAATAGCTGGCACAAATTAGACTGCGCGATTTAAGTTGCACACGTAGGTTGCACAACAAAGAGTGCACCACACAGATTGCACCACATCGAATGCATCACATGGCTTGCGCACCGCAAGAATTCTCCTTTCCTGGTGAAATATTAGGATCAACCTCCCCCGCCCCGGACTTAACCGCTCCCCTTTTCGTATTGCATTCACCCACGGTTCTGCCCCATCGTCCATCCGGAATACGAGATCACCCCAACCAGGCCGGTAACGGTTCCCCTCCTCGTCCCCTGCAAATGTGCTATGCGCGCGCACTGGTTTTTATGCGCGCGCACTCGTTCTTTCCAAAAATCAGCACCTTTCAAGAATGTCTTGCTGGAAATGCGGCAAGGTGCACACGCGCGCGTCGTTGCGCGCGCATGCCACAATCAAAAACTCGAGTTCTTAATATCAGAATCGAACGTCACGAAGACATGCTTGAAACATGGTTTCTCAACAAGGGCGTTCAAAAAAACCTGCGCCAGCGCTCTTGCGAGTTCTTACGGAAACCATATGTTTTCCAACATCATAATCCAATTCTACCAAAACGGCCTCTCGCGCGCGAATGTCGAAATCGATCGGATGCCCTCGCGCGCGTGCTATCGGGAGAACCCCTGGCAAACAAGGGACGACGTGCACGCGCGCGCGTCGTCGCGCGCGCATGACGAAATCGCTCGAAAACCTTAGGTATCGTACGGATTTCAAAAAAACGAGTGCCCCGAAAACATATCAACACACACAACATGGCTTTGCAACATAAGTTTTCAAACATCCGGCGCGCGCGGCTTTGCGGAGTCTGAAGAAAACCATCGGTCGTTTGATATGTTAATCAGATTCTGCCAAACGGGCCTCTCGCGCCGCATGTCGAACTCATTCGAGCGCCCTTGCGCGCGTGCTGGGGGGGGGAGCACGATCCGTGTCAAATAATACCACGCGGGCCACTCGCGAGCGTCGGCCGCGCGCGCATGTCGAACTCTTTCAAAAACCTCCATCGCCGACGCGAGGACACCAACATTGTTATCAGCGGACGTGATCACCATCGGCGCCATCATTGGCCTTGGCCGTCGTCATCGCCACCATCGTCACCATCGTCACTACTCTCATGATCGTGTCTACCGCTGTCGGCGTTGCCATGATACCGCGCCCGCCCCCATTACCGACTCGCACTGGAGTGCCCTTTGGGAGGTGCCCAGTGGTCATCGCCACCACAGCCGCGGTGGTCGCGCCAACCTAGCTGGCCGCTCTGCGCGCGAGCATGCGCGGGCTAGAGCGGCCGCAGAGATGTACCAGCCAACGCCAAGTACTCATCGCAATCGCCGCCGCATGGGTTTTGCAAACCAAGTTGCGGGTGGGTGGGGGGGGGATGTTTGCGAGGGCAGGGAATGTGTCAACCCATTGGTAAAAATCAAGAGCAACAGATGGACCACTCCACTAATACTGCGCAACATGGATTGCAAGCACAGTTTGAACAACACAAAGTGCACAACCTCGATCACGCCACGTAAAGTGCACCACGTATATGACTAGAAACACACTGCTTGAGGTGCACGCTGGCTAACAGATCGAAGACAGTTAAACCAAAGGGAAGCAAATCGAATATGAAGATAAGTGAGGTGATCGGTCGAGAAATCAGAACTGGTTTAGAAACAGTGTGGACGGTGCGGGGAGAATTGGGGCACGTGTGGCGGCGACAAGAGAAGAAGCGAAAGTGCCCGAGCTACAAGCGCAGGCAGAGTAGGGGGAAGAGAAGATGCAGGACGGGGAGGAGTGCCGTAACGCAGGGGCCGCAGGGCTTTCTATCCCTAGTCGTGGGGCCCAGGAAGGGCCCTGGAGAGGCCGAAGGCAAAGAAGAAACGCATGGCCCCTCTCCCTCAGGACTCTTTTCGTCATGGCAACCCTGAAGCATCGACACTCAGACCCTCGCGGACTGCATTCTGGTGAATGTCGAGGATGATCCCAGCTGTGCGGAAGAGGGGCCAACTCTGGAGGCCCCAAAACATGGCAGCACGCCCCCCGATCAAAAATGCTTGAACCTCACAGAATCCCGGGTGCTGCTAAAATTGCACCTGGCCCAAGGTGCCCCCAGTATTCCCAAGGAGGTTTCCACAGCCTCCAGAGCACCCCATCGCGAGGCCTAGAGGGCCCCAGGGGCTCCAACATAGAGCGACAAGCTGGGGGGCACCTTGGGCCAACGGCACCTGTCGGGGATGGACAGAACCCCCTTTAGGAAAACGTGGTTTGGTGAAAACGGCCTCGGGCCCAAACCTGGCGGGCGCAAGCCTGGAACGTGACGGCCGCGGCGCCCTCTCGAGAACCGAAAACGGACAATTCACTAATCGACGTTTCAGGGGCAAAGCGCAAAAGCGGGGGGGGCAAAGCGCAAAGCGGGGGGGCACCCTGGGCCAGCGGCACCTTTCGCAACCCCCCCGACGATTATTTCCCCAGTGGCAGATTGCCTGGTGCTGCTGGTCGGCGTCCCGGCTCATCAGCGGTGCTGACGCCACCTCGGGGGCCGTCCGGACGGGGTTCGTCCGTCCAAAAGCGGGGACCGCTGAACCGCGGCCCGAGGCGAGTGCGCGGCCCGGGGGGGGGGGGGAGCCAGGGGACGCACTGAAGCCTCGGGGACCCCCAAACGGAGTGGTGACCACACCGTGTGGTCAGTCGGTGGGGATTCTGGGTCACCGCACGGTTTTGGGACTTGGGTCGTGCTTCGAGGATGTCTCGGGCGACTGGGGCCTCCAGGGTCCCAAGGCCGTGCGGCGACGGACCGTGCGGTGAGGTCTCTTGGGGTTCCAATGTCACCGCACGGTCTGTCACCACACGGTTTTGGGATCCCCAAGAAACACGAAGAGGCGCCCTGAGGTCGGGGAAGATGTCATGGCCCACGCCACGATGCCCACCCACCTACAGCCGAAAATGTGATCAAGAAAGCCATCAGTTCAAAAACGTGGGCCAGCTTTCCGAAGTTCCAAGAAAGCTGGGCCACCTTTGTTTGTCCACAGGGACGAAGGCGCTGAAGAAACTGGGCCAGCTTTCCAGCAAGTTGGATAAGAAAGTTTGCCCAACTTTTCGCGAGGAGATTTCTTCATCAGATGCTCGACCGTGGATCGGCTGCGAGCGAGGGGGGAAGTGAGAAAGAGGATGCCTTCTCAGAAGGCGGCGGGGCTTCTCAGATGCCCTCCGGCCTTCTGAGAAGTGCTCTGTGCCTTCGGGGGAGGCTTAGACGCGAGAAGAGTGACCCTGGGCCAGAGCGCCCGTTGGTGCGCTGCTTGCCGATCGTTGCATGCGCTGCGAGAGTAACGGCCTGCGGGTTTGGGTTTTCGCAGGCGGGAAACAAATCCGCATCCACGGCCGCACTTCCCCCAACGGCTGGCCGCCGACTACAGTGGAGGCCAGTCCACAACAAACCTTCCAGAAGAAACCCAACCCTGAGACCCCAGGACGTGCCTTGATTTTTGGTGTGGGAACGTTACGCATTCCAACGGAAAACCATCGAAACCCAAGAAACCCACGGCACCCTGGAGGCAAGCAGGGTGTGTCTTGGCATGGATCTCCACTGTATCCGCATCCACGGCTGCACTTCCCCCAACGGCTGGCCGCCGACTATAATTATCACCCCCCTCTTCGACGCCTGTCGGACGCCGGGCCACAACTCTGTCTGGGCTCTGGCAGCCTTTCGGGACACACCGGGAACCCCTGGGAAAAGCTCTCTCGACGAGGCCAAATCCCCCGAGAAGCACCTCGAGGCTGGAAACAAACGCCGAGGACGGAAGGAAACGCCCGAAAACCTTTGACCTCGAACCCGACAATCCCCCCTCTAGTGTGAGAAGCAAAAACAGCAACACTAATCCTTTGGGAGGTGGCCTGAGCCAGGCGGGCCACAAACATCAGGGAGAGGGTTCTTTTTGCAGATGACGCACACGAAACCACATCCACACGTTTAGGGATAACCCTACGTACCGAGGACCCTGAGTTAGGCCACGAAGTCATCGTGCCATCAGGGTTGGGGGCTGCATTATGCCTAATGATCCTCACCCCCCTCCTGCCCCCCCTGGTCAGCACCTGAGTTGTTCTGAAAAACGCTGGGGAAGCGGCTCCTCCTCCTCCCGCTCCTCCCTTCTCCTCCTCCTCCTCATTCTCCTCCTCCTCCTCCTCCTCTTCTCCTCCTCTTCCTCTTTCTCCTCCTCCTCCTCCTCCTCCTCCTCCTCCCTCCTCCTCCTCCTCCTCCTCCTCCTCCTCCTCCTTCTCCTCTTCTTCCTCCTCCTCCTCCTCCTCCCTTGCGACTTTTCGTGTTGCGTTAACCATGACGGAAAAATCAGAAACAACGGCATAGCAAAAACGACACCGGCCGCACCGTAAACAACCGAAAAACGGCAGCCCGAAACAAAAAACGAACATCAACCCCAAACGGAAAACGATTGACAGAAACGGAAAACAAGAAAACAGCAGCAAAAGACAATCAGAACACAGACCGCAAAACGAATCTGCCATGGCGAGACGGCCATCCCGTAGCGGAGAGACACGCGGCCCCCAGAACATACAAACAAGTCGATCTTGCAAAAAACAGCGACAACAACAATACAACAACAACAACAACAACAACAACAACAACAACAACGACAACAACAACAACAAAACAAAACAAAAGACAACTCTATATATATATATATATTATTTAAAAAAAAAAAAAAAAAAAAAAAAAAAAAAAAAAAAAAAAAAAAAAAAAAAAAAAAAAAAAAAAAAAAAAAAAAAAAAAAAACGCCCCGGGCGTTCTTCACGACATCTCCGGCCCGCACCCTCCTCCTCCTCCTCCTCCCCGCCTTCCTCCTCCTCTCCTTTCCTCCTGCCTCCTCCTCCTCCTCCTCCTCCCTCCTCCTCCCCCCTCCTCCTCCTCCTCCTCGCCTCCCTCCTCCTCCTTCTTGGCCGCTCCAGGCCGCCGGCGGCGCGCCCGCCCGCAGCGCGGGCGACAGGGGCGGCGAGGCCCGGCGCTCGCGGCAGACGTCGCGCCGGTCCCTGCGCCCGCGCTGGGCCGCCTGTATCCGCACGGCGGCCTGGCGGGGCGGAACGCGGCAGAGCCCGTCGCCGCCGCCGGGCGGCAAGAGCGACTCGGCGGCGCGCACAAGGCCCTCCTCCTCTTCCTCTCTTCTTCGCCGTCCTCCTCCTCCTCTTCCTGCTCCTCCTCAGCCTCCTCCTCCCCCTCCTCCTCCTCCTCCTCCTCCTCCTCCTCCTCCTCCCCTCCTCCTCCTCCTCCTCCTCTCCTCCTCCTCCTCCTCCTCCTCTTCCTCCCCTCCTCCTCCTCCTCCTCCTCCTCTCCTCCTCCTCCTCGCTCCTCCTCGCTCCTCGCTCCTCGCCTCGGGTAGGGGGAGGGGGACGGCTTCTTAGAAGCAGGCTGCGTCTTAGAGTCGGGGGACGAAGTCTATACATATCCACTGCTCCCTGGCCAGGCCCTTCCTGAACCCAGGAGCTGTGTATACGCCCTCCTGGCCAAACCAGGAGGGCGTGGCGTATACACAGCTGCTGTGTTCAGGATGGGCCTGGCCAGGGAGCAGTGGATATGTATAGATTGCGTCGCCCTATAGAGGGCGCTGGCCTTGCATCTTTAGACAAGGCCCGCGCCTTCCAAGAAGCAGGGGTGCTTGTAAGACGCCTTCCCCCCTCCCCCTACCCCCTCTGCGGCGCCAAGCGACGGCTACAGTTAGGTCGGGCGTGTCCTCCTACAGGCGGATTGATTTGGGAGGGAAATGCCAGCATAGTCAAAAAAAACATCTTTTTCCATTCTCGAATGTTCCTCCTGTAGAGGGCCATGCCCGACTTAAGGCTATAGTCGAAGCGCTGTCATAAGGAACCCTCAATTAGGAACGAGGCCCCTGTCTCCATAACTGAAACCTCGATGTCCCATGGGAGACCTAGGGAGAACCTCAGACAAACCGCATACAGCAATTAAGGAACACTGAGCCCCTCCCCACCAAACAGGGTTTCTTCTTCAGCGGCCCGACTGTGCGGCGGGGCAGAGCCAACCGCCGCCGCCAGCGACGGCGAAAACGGCGGTGGCGCTGGCGACGGCAGCTGCCAGGCGGCGGGGCGGAGCGGGGCAGAGCCAACCGCCGCAGCAGCCGCCCTTCGCCTTCGCCGCGTGCGAGGTCTGCCTTTCGGCAGTTCCCTGGGCGCTCCTCTGGAGGTTCCCGTGGCCACTGCTGGACGCAGCTTGAGCGATTGGCGCCAGGATCGAGCGTTGTGCTTCGTGGGGGCTGAGCGGAGGGGCACAGAAAGGTGCACCCTTCGTGCACTTTCGGGGCCCCTTGAGGGCTCATTGGGAGCCCCTTTCCCGCAACCCTCCATCCGCCCCCCAGGACGGACCCAGGGGTGGTCTGGGGACCGGACTTGCACGCATTTCGGCAGGTTGTCGCCCGACGTCCGTCTCTGCCGTCGTCGGCGCCCATGCCTGCGGCCCTCCATCCCGCCCCCCCCCCCTCTCGCCCTCTATTACGAGACGCCCTGCAGGATGCACCCAGGGAAGAGTCCAGGGACTGATTTCGAGCGCAGTTCGGTCGGTCGTCGTCCGTCGTGCGTCGTCCGTCGTCGGCAGTGGCGGCTGCGGCGACGCTGGCCTCGCCACCCCACGCCGCGCCCCCCAGAAAAGCGTTCCACAACAGATGCTTTAAACATATGTATATATGAGTGTATGTGTGTGCCGTGTGTTCTCGACGTGCCTAAGTAGACGAAACCGACACCACGGCACACCCATGGCAAGCCCTGCGCCTGAGGCAGCGTTTGCCCCGGTGGCCGAGGCGCCCTCCCCAAGACGGAAAGCCGCGCGTCGGAACAAAACGGCGCGGCGAAATATGCGTATCTTTATAATAGCACCATTGCGCGGGCTTCGCGCGGGCTTGAGTTCTACCTGTCTTGGACTACCGCGTTAACCGGGTTGAAAGGGCCGCGTCCGAATGTAATGGAGCCTTGGGTCTCGGGTTAGGCGAGGGGCGCACAACAACATTCAAGTAGACATGCGTGTAAGCATTACTTCGCCCCCCACAAGCACACAGACACACAGACACACAGACAGACAGACAGACAGACAGACAGAGAGACAGGCAGACAGACAGACAGACAGACAGACAGACAGACAGACAGACAGACAGACAGACAGACAGACAGACAGACACACAGACAGATAAGCAGACAGACAGACAGACAGACAGACAGACAGACAAACACACGACAGACAGACAGACAGACAGACAGACAGACAGACAGACAGACAGACAGACAGACAGACAGACAGACAGACAGACAGACAGACAGACAGACAGACAGACAGACAGACAGACAGACAGACAGACAGACAGACAGACAGACAGACAGACAGACAGACAGACAGACAGACAGACAGACAGACAGACAGACACACACACACACACACACACAGACACTGACACCAAGAGAGCCCGCCCAGACGGCCCCAGAGGGCCATATTGGAGCTGTGTTGGGGGCGGGTAGGACGTTGGGAAAATCATCAGGATTCATAGGTCCCTGGAGATCACTCGGAGTCTCTAGGGGCCTCATGGGGGCATCTGGGGTCTCTTGTGAAGTTTCCGGATCCTGCTCGGGGCCTTCTTCGGGCGTACTGGCGGTCTTGGGAGCCATCTTCAGGGGGAGGGTTCCTAGAGCCCCCCTCTTGGGCCCCTCTTGGGGCATAGTGGGAGTTCATTGTGCCGTCCTGGAGCCTCGTCGGCCGTCATGGGGCGGTCATGTGCCGTTTTAGGCAGGCAGGTGACGAAACAAGCGAGAACGCCAAAATGCTAAAAACCTAGAGTTGGAATCAATGAGTGTTGCCTCTCGGGGCTTTCTTGGCACTGATTGTGGGGTCCTCTTGCAGCGTCTTGTGGGCCCCCAGGGCCGTTTGGAACACCCTTGGGTCCGCATGAGAAACCCGAAACCCGTGGTGGTGAATCGGGGCCTTCTTGGGCCGCGATGGGAACTGCCTACCCGCACTCGGACGCTATCTGTGGTCTTCTTGGAGGTTTCCTGGGCCGTGTGGGGGGCCTCCTGGGTTCCCTTGGGGCGACCTTGGGCCATCTGCGCACGCTTTGGGAGCGTATTAAGTAGTCTTGGGGCGCCCCTGGGGGTTCCATGGGCTGTTTTGGGGCTTCGGACGCCCGGAAAAAACATGAACGCCCACATTTCTGGCAACGTTAAAGAAATTTGCGTTGGCAAAAACAAAAGCCTTCAAGATGACCTCGCTTGAAGGAAGGCCGAACGCAGAGTCGGTTAGAACCTGCGGGTGGAAGGGGGATAAGAGGCCCCCGCAGGCGCCATAGCACCACTGGTGAGCACCGCCGTACTTGTGACCCAACAGCGTGATTAAAGGCAATGACATAGCACCACAGCACATGTAGCCAGAAATAACGGCTAGAGGTCCCCGTCGGCGCCCAAATACCCGCGATGAGCACCACCGTACCTGCGAACCAACATTGTGGTTGGAGGTCCCCGTCGGCGCAAAAGTACCTGTGACGAGCAACACCTTACATGTGAACCAAAATGATTGCTAGAGGTCTCCGTCGGCACAATAATACGTGTGACGAGCACCACCGTACGTGGGATCAAAACTTGTGGTCCTGACATCTGCCACCCACAGCAGCAACCGCCAGCCCGCCCCCTTCCGTCGAAATTCGCCTGTGGGCCATCCCGGGAGTCTCTGGACAGCGTCTTTGGGGCGGGCGCGAGGCCGGTCCCGGAACGCCTCCTTAACACTCCCACACCACGTGGCCAGTCGCAGGTAGTGCACATGCACACCACGGGCATTCCATCGAAGGGTTGTTGTCTTGGCCCTGCTCGAAGGCAGCATGCGACACAAGGCCTCCCGTGAGCACCGTCAAACGTAGACGGGTGCTCCTGCGCACTGGCGATGACGGCCTTGAGCCGTTTCGCGTCGTAGTGGGCAATCCTGCACGCCTGCGCGTCGTTCCGTCTCGTACCCTAACAACCGTGGAATGTGTGATGCCGCCTCCCGTAGTATGTGGCACAGGAACCTGGGCGAGTGCCATTGCTCATCCGTGCTATCCAGAGAGATCGTCTCGTCGACCCCGTGGTGATACCATGTCAAGTACGCCGTATTCCTCGACCCCTTCCACCTGAGGTGCTGTTGGATAGTGCCTGCTGGCCCCCCGAGCTCCTGGCGTGCTGCCGTCACTCAGCCCTCTGGATGCAACCAGCGCAGCGGTGACGAGCGCCCCCTGCTGCGCGCGGGACCGGGCGTCGACCATGTGACCCACGACCAGGCACCTGAGGTTCGGCGACGACCGTCGCGGTACACCAGTGGCGCGGTGGACAGCAGCCTCGAGCTTGTCAGTGGCCGTGCGCGGCGGCCTGGAGTTGAACCACCCGTACTGAGTCGAAGAGAGTGGCCCTGCAGCCACCGCCTCCTGTCGCTATCGGGGAGGGAGCGGCAGCCACGGCGCGCGTTCCACGTGCCGTTGTGCTTTGGACATGCGATTGGCCGCCTTGGTGCTGGCGGCCCTGCACTTCCTCCAGCGAGCTTCATCCCAAAGATTGTAATATTTGGGAAGACGATGTCCGCGCGGACACCCCGAGCCTGCAGATGCCGCCGCTTCCTCGTGCCACAGCGTGCCCACTGCTGCTTGCTGCCTTTCCCTACCATACCCAGGGCTTGTGAGCAGTCGTCCCAGATGGCCGCGGCGCCAAGCATACCGTCGGGAGTGCGAGACGCCCACGTACGGTCGTCGACGCACACCTGGCTCCCGCGCGGCAGCCTCACAGAACGGAACCGTGAGCACGGCCCTAATGGTCAAGGCGGACCACGGATCCCCCTGCGGGAGGGAGGTGGGCACGTCTTCTGGCTGCTTGGCACGTGGCCCCCGCGTAGCTGTAGCCAACGTCGCTGGTTGGCCCATTGCCTCCGCAGCATCTTCGCAAAGTGGCTGGGCAGCCCCATCTGTTCCATTGCTGACGTTGCTGCCGTAGGATGTACCCGGTCGAACGCCAAGCTGTGAAACACGAGACGCGCCGAACTCGCCGGCCTCCAAAGCAGCGA